TTTCCTGTACCAAGGTCGGTTTCGTTACTCGTAGGTAACGATTAATGACTATAAATCCCATCGTTATAATAGAGGTAGAGGCGAAAATAGTCAAAACTGATCCGGCCATCTGACACAACTTTGACTGAAACTTCAACATCCTGTATACAGGCACGCTATCCAGAATGGCATGCAAATCATCGCCGTGGCGATGTCAGTCGATGCCAAATTATTAATCAACATGTTGGTGGCGGTAGGTGTGTTGGATGAAGTAAAGCAATCATTTTAGTTTTAATTTTAATGTACACTTTCCTTCTATATCATTTTGCAAAGTTTGGAAGTATTTAGCGAATTGTTCTCTTATTTACTTTGGAAGTGCTCATGGTGGTGATTTCGAAGGTAAGATAAAAAAAGTCAAGTTGGCTTATTGTTAAGTCATTCCTTCGGTAAAAATATAGTTGTATTTCTTGAAAGGCCTCATGTAAACCACTCAGCTGCAGATGAAAGGGACATGATTAAATACTTAACGATGTTTTGTTACCGCGGATTATAAGAGACTTTAAGTTGGTGATTTGACTTTAAAAGATCAATTTTTGCGGTTGGAGAAAGCTGACGTTTCTGTTAAGATCAATTTTACTGCAATTATTTAGCTTCTTCACTTTTATATGACTCGTAGATGGATATTTCGGGTGAGTCTGATTAAGAACCATTTATCCATCTACAGTGATGGTCAGTGAAGTCGAAGCTGAACGGGCTGAGAGGTCTGTAACGCTCAGCTAGTAACCAAATCTCTCTTGAATTCTGAAGGAAAACGTTTGACAGGCAAGGTAATCGATATTTTTACCAGTTTTTCATTTTTCCTCACCTTGAGATTCCCTTTTTTTCGTAAAACTCCCTTCTGTTTGCTTTAATAAGAGGATTTGCAAACGATTTGAAAATGTACCTGATGTGATACTGAGTCAAACAATCAAAATTATCATTAGTCACTGGTTATCCATATTTTGAGTGTTTTACTATTGAAATAAATCAGAATCAGCTTTTTTTCTCAAGTCTGCTTTCCCTGTTAGGTGAGGGTCGCTGGAGATGGTGTAGCCATGCTCGAAAATACTCCGAACAAGTTGAGAGATCATAGCCAGCAAATATCTATAGAAGCGCCAGAGGTACCGGGTTTGAGCGCAGACTAGGTTGTGGTAGTTGGCTTTAATACAAATACTTCGTGTAAATGCAAACAAAATACTCAGAAATTCTTTCGATAGTACAACATTTTCTTTTGGGTGATCAACCTCTTGCTTTTCGGAAAATGCATTTACACCTACGTCGCTTACCAGAACAAATCTTCCAAACAATAGACAAACCGAGCTCATCCAGCATTGTTAGAAAACCTTTCCAGGCAACGAAAAAATCGGATACAGCTTGCAATCAATGAAATATTAACTTTAGAATTTGTATTAGTGATAGGGAAAGGGAACTCGAATTTAATAACGAAATATCAGAAAAAGTTATTAAGGGGCAAAGCGATCGATATCATTAACGAGATTTTCAGTTTCATCCATCTTTCCAATAAAACAGTAAAACCTTTCTTCTTTTCTTTTGTCAGATTTATCTCTGTTCTATTGAGATATGTTACTGCATTGCTAGCGCTGACGCAAAGATTTGCGGAAGGATTTGCGAAAGGATTTGCAAATTCAAGCGCTCATAGTTGGCTCTTAAGGCTTGAACTTGTTATCCTCATGGCGATTTGTGATTATGAACAGAACTTTAGACTGAAACCTTTAATAGAGCACCTTTCTGTCAAGTGAGCCAATGTAGAAGCATGGTTTCGGAGGGAAAATGTTCCTAGAAAGGTCGAAGTGACAAGATGTCTACTAGATTGTGTCGAACACTAGCTGACATTGCATCTCAGATTTCTTCTCTAATTCTAGCTGATTCTGAAATGACTTTGGTCCTACATAATTTGCCATAGAGGAAATAAAACTGAATCGAGATTAAATTTAATTTTGCAACTCATCAGTCAAGAAGAATATAATGCTGAGTTTCCTTTCGGCAACAAAAGTGACATTGAGTTCTATTAACGAGGTTCTAGATGGGGTTAACTGACAAGTGACAAATAGCCAAATTTTAACTAACAGCTGAAAAATCGCTGAAGATTTAACTGACAACTGATATTTGTGGTGGGCTTTTATTGACAGCTGACGAAAGACCGGATGGCTCTAAATATCCTTAAAAACTGGATGTAAAATAAGGACAGTTGATTTAGTTTGTCCAATGAAAGAACGTTTTTTTATTACATATCAGTATGAGCACGCCAGAGTGTCGTACTTCGTTAATAATTACCGCATGGACCATCCACATTAAGGTCATATGTCACCACAGGCATCTCAAGGCTCACGTCTCGAGGTAAAACGAAAGATTATTTTTTGAAAGCGTCACGCATTGTATGACGCAGTGTTGAGTTTTTTCCTGTAACAGGAAAAACAGCGATGGCAAAAGCAAGCCCAAAACGGCGGAAATCGCCATAAAACACAACGGACACACAAGAAGTGAGTCAGTTTTATCAATCTTAAGTGTAAAATGTTCATATTTCAGATGGCTGTGTCTCAAAAGGACTGGGAACTATTGAATTCACGAATTTGATTGGCTGAAATCAATATTGAAGGCGGTGTACACTTTCCCATCTAGACCGGTATCTAGACCGGTCTAGAAAAAAAAGGTACAAAGAATATAAAAAATTGGCATGTGAGACACAGCCATATAATAAATATCTTATTAACCGAGCCAGGTCGGTCTGTATGGGAGAATCTTGATTTCGGTCGCTGGTACAGACCTCACTGCCTTCGGTCTGTACTGGCGACCTCGATCAAGACTCTCCCATACAGACCTCCCGCTCGGTTAATAAGAACTAGATATTTAATGTTGTAAATGACCTATATTTCGTTGCCTATACGATTCATTATTACGCATTCAAATTCTCAACGGTTCCTGATTTACTTAACATCGCGCCACACAACATCTTGAAAGCGTCAAAAAGTAATCTTTCGAATTTCTTCGAGATGTGAGCGTGGGACGCCTGAGATGCCACATATCAATTATATGATCTTTGATACGCGACTCCATCGTCAGCTTACAAGATGGCCGTCAATGTGGGTTTTTAAAAGTTGTTGTAAGGTTTTATTATGATCGGAATGATTTGGAAACGGCATTTGAGGGTCACAGAAGCTGCTTTCCTACTAATGGTGTTAACACCGTACTGGCGCCGAAAAAGCACCTTATTTCGTTCCTTGGTCCAAAAGAGTTGTCCAGTAAATATAGCCTCGGAGGTTCTGATGTGAAACTTTATCACATGGGTCCGAAATCAGCAGGGAAGAGCGACAAGTTTGCCTTAACTACGGACGAGCAATGGGATCTGTGGCTTCCGACCATGCTGGCTGAAACAGGAAACGAATTAAACAGTACGTAATGGAATGGTCAGGTACAAGGCATTGATATAAATATATCAGTTGAAATCGAGTTAAAAGCCTACTCTTTAGTACATGTATAGACAGGGTCCATTAAGCTAACATCGAGACTCCGTGGTACTGTGTCGTTCTTACAAGTCCTTGGAAGTCTCTATAACAGTTTTTATAGCAGAGTCCAAAGCATGGAGAAAGCACACATGTTTCTTCCAGATGCGTAGACAAAGTATCGTATGCAAATAACAGCATCACAAAGACCGCTCCTGAGGTTAAACAAAGGCACAGTATAAAGGAAACCACAGGAATCAATGGCCCTGAAAGAACTGCGTCTAATAAAACTCAAGTCTCTCTTAAACGTCTCGAAGAAGGAATGCGCCGCCTGAACAACGACATAGCTTCAATCAATATAACGACATTGAATTGGGCACATTACTCACAATCGAGTGGAGAATGTGCACGCAGTGTCTCATTTTAAACATGAGACCTCCACCGCATTGCAGTATTCCCAAGACTTTGGAATGATAACCAAGGAGTCGTTAAAGAGAGTGAACAAATGGGCTGCCAAGTATTTTACTCATGAAACTTCCTACTACCTGTCCTTCAGATCAGCTCGGAGTTTGCAAATTTCAACTTCAGTTATGCGACCTCTACCTTTAGAAGAAATCAACCCCGTAACTGACAGTGCTATAAAAGAATTTGCAGAGAGTATCGTCCGTTGAGGGAAAGGACAGTGCGGGAGGAAACTAACAAGGAGAAAGCAGAGGCTTTACCACCGGCCGTCTACGCGAAGCAACAAGATTTCACCAAAGGGGACTTGTAGGTGGGACTAGGGAACGACTTTTAACTCTGGAGATCAGCCAGTAGGGCGTAGCAGCGTCAAAGGAGCCGTTCAAGCTACTTCGGAAGGTGGCAATGTGACAGATGTCACTTTTGTTGATGGCTGTATCGTTGCTGAGGAGCGAACGTATGTAGAAGAATATGACACGTGCTCAGAAAACGACCATTCTGACCGATATCCGTGTACATGTTCGCTTCAATTTCTAAGGTACGCTAAGAGTAGATGTCTTTGATAGCCTAATTGAAAAGAAGACAACAGAACATTCTTCTCTGATCATTTCATCGGAGCCAGTCGCAATTGAGGCAACAAAAAATAAAACTTACGATCTTCTTTCCAACATCTTGACCGGCTAAGTGGTTGAAAAGAAATGTTAGTGTGCAGAAGACTTGTAACTCACTTAAAAACCCTTCAAGCAAAGACTGAAAGTCACTTGGAAGATCTTGGAATTATTTTATTCCAGAATTGAGAAAAAAGGATTCTCCACGTTTCAATTTTTGACTTAATTTTCGAGTTTACGCTATATGTGCCTTTTTAGCCAAAAATAGGGTCGGAAAAAGTGACGAACTCGCCAATTTACTTATTAACAGTCATTTAACTGATAAATGGCCTAACACCTAACTGAGAACTGATAAATGGCCGAATTTTAACTGACAAGTGACAATTGTAACCCCGCATCCAGACCCCCAATTACGTGTTAATCTTTTCACATCAATTTAAGTAAGTTTTGCTATCTACGCTGCGGCCTGTATTTCTCCTGAATGCTCGCGTCTTGCTTCATTCCTTGCTTGATAATCATCCGTATTCGCGTTACCATTGCAACCGCATTGAAGAGCTCTCTTAAATGCCCGTTTAAACCGCGGATTCATAATGCCATAGATAAATGGATTTAGCAGACTGCTCGAGAACATCAAGTAAGTACTTGCTGTGTAGACCTTTTGAGGAAGATCTGTCCTTCTTGCAGCGAAGAAGGAGATCGGAGACCATGTTATAAAAAAGGCACAAGCCACGGTGAAGCATGTCTTTAAAATGTTTATGTCGGTGACATCGAAGCGGCGAGAATTGTTTATGGTGCTGACACCATTTTCTTGATCATGAGAATTGAGATTTTCTGTACTCTCTTTCACAGCTTTGTAAATTTTGAAATAACAATAAAATATTGTCATCATGATCCCGGTAATAAATGTGCCCACAATCAATGATCTGTATACACTGGACTCTGCAGTACAAATGCTAGCTCTTGTATTATACGATACCCCAACCCATCCGCCAAGAAAAGGTATGGCGATAACAGTTGCTACTAGCCAAACGAGAACACAATATAGCCGAGCAGCTCTTTTACCAGGGAAAACTTTCCTGTACAGGATTGGTTTCACTACCTGTAGGTAGCGATTGATGGCTATCAATCCCATCGTAAATATGGAAGTATAAGCCAAAATAGTCAAAACTGATCCAGCTATCTGACACAACTTCTGACTGAAAATCCAAGATCCTGTATACAGGCACACTATCCAGAATGGCATGGAAATCGTCGCCATGGTGATGTCCGTCAATGCCAAATTATTTATCAACATGTTGGTGACGTTATGGAGCCTGGAGTCTTTATTGATAACAAACACAACAAGCAAGTTACCGAACATGACTGAGAGGCCCATGAGAAGAGCTAAGGAGACCTCGAAACCAATTTCCGCACTAGAGCGATCAAGAGGATCCTGAGAAGATGATTTCGACATGGTCGTCAGCTTCTGAAGTTACGCTCGAAAAAAACCACCTCTTTTAATGATGTCAAACTACATTAAAAACAAACAAACAAATAAACAAACAGACAACGACTCCAGCTGTGTTAAAGGAAATGTTTGGATCATGAGAGCTAAAGAAAAACGAATGAAATTGAAGACTTTTTGCACTACTATTTGAGCGGAAGTACAATATTATTTCACTAATTCGAATTGAAATGGTAATTCAGTTAAAGACGCGCACTGAAAGGCTATCGTAACTACGAATATCCTTTAAATACCCGAAAAACTCGCGTGGGATCTGTTCCCGAAAATATTGTAATCGTTACAAGAGTAAATCAGTTTAAATCATATTTTGTGCGATTTGAAGTCAGTCTTAGTATACGTTAAGACAACTACTCAAATCTGTGTCGTTAGCTGGTGATGGATATTTAACTCGTCACTTCGCGTCTTGGTAAATATCAACTACTAGCCACTTTCACTTAGGTAAACGATTGTTAGTAAATATCCGCTTTAAAACAGCACGTCGTGGCTGGATAGAACTTGAGGAAAAAAATATTTGCTGCGAAAAAAAATACTAATGAAAGAAAAAGAAACCTGAGAACTTACCTGTACAATTTGACTAAGGTTAGAAATCATTAAATCATCCGAAATTCTGTACCTGGTAGAGTCATGTTATATGTTTTGGATTTTTTATCGTGGACCTGATGAACTAAATTTCGCTTTGAGTATCCCTCACGGTATAAATTTATGTTTGAGCTACATACCTGGGTAGATATCAAAGTTTTGCAGTAAGCCAGAGATGTAAAATATGCTGTTCGTGCCGATGAAACTGCCAAGTGGACATTCAAATCTTAAATGGACAATTTTCTTCATTTACCTAACACTCAGGGCTTTTCGCCATCCTTTGAAGCATAAATCCAGCCATTCACACGTGGAAAGAGAACAACTATTTTAGACTTCTGAAAAGTATACTTACTGATCTACCTTAATCGCCGAGCTAAGTGTGTTGGATGAAGAAAAGCAATCATTTTAGTTTCAAATTTAACTTACACCTTCCTTCTATATCATTTTGCAAAATTTGGAAACATTTAGCGAATCTTTTACTTGTTTACTTTGTAAGTGCTCTTGGCAATGATTTCAAAGGTAAGATAAAAGAATTCAAGTTGGCTAATTGTTGAGTCGTCCATTTGGTGAAAATAAAGTTGTATTTTTAAAAAGGCCTTGTGTGAACTGCTCAGCTGCAAATGAAAGAGACATGATTAAATACTAAACGTTGTCTTCTAGCGCGGATTATGAAAGATTTTAAGTTGGTGGTTTTATGTTTAGGGATCGATTTTTGTGTTTGGAGAAGGCTGACGTTTCTGTTAAGAACAATTTGCTGCAATTGTTTAGCTTATTGAGTTTTATTTGGCTCTAGATGGAGATTTCGAGTGAGTCTTGTTAAGAAGGATTTATCCATCTACAGTGATGGTAAGTGAATTTGAAGTTGCACGGGCTGAGAGATCTGTGACGGCAAGCTAGTGATCAAATCTCCCTGTTTTCTGAGGAAACGTTTGGCAGGCAAAGCGATCGATAGTTTTACTAGATCTTCATTTTTGTTCACTGCGAATTTCCTTTCGTAAAACTCTATTCTGTTTGTTTTAATATGAGGATTTGCCAGGCGATTTGAAAATGTACCTGATGTGATACTGAGTCAAAATTAACATTTAGTCACTGGTTACCCATATTTTGAGGGTCTTTCTATTAAAATAGGTCAGAAGCGGCTTTTGTTCTTAAGTCTGCTTTCCTTATAGGTGAGGTTTGTTGAAAATAATGTGGCCGTGCTCGAAATCCCTTCGAAAATCGTGAACTAGCTGAGAGATCATAGCCAGCAAACATCTGACAGAAGTGCCAGAAGTACCAGGTTTCAGCGCAGAATATGTTGAGGTAGTTGGCTTTAATACGAATACTTCGTGTAAATGCAAACAAAATGCTTGAAAATTTTTTCGCTGGTATAACGTTTTGTTTTTGCTGTTCTCATCCTCTTGCTGTTCGGAAAATGTATTTACATCTTCGTCGCTTACCAGAACAAATATTCTAAACAAAGGACAAACCGAGCTCATCCAGCACAATTAGAAAACCTTTCCAGGAAACGAAAAAATTGGAAAGGTTCCTAAATCTCTTACAGATTCTGGAAGAGATATTAAAAACCTGTAACTCATTTGTTCATCAAAATGCACGCCGATGATAAAATGAAATGATAAAATTGAAAAGGCTGATGGAGATATTTAGTATAAGACCTAAACCATATTCATACTTTTTGGAAGATTCGTCGTGCACATCCAGGAAAGATGAATTCATTTCGTGAAACTAACGCATTCTTTGCTAATAAAGCAAAGGAAAAGCAAGTTTAGAACCCCTTTGATTTTCCTATAACATTTTTAACCAATTCGACAGATCCAACCGGCCAATCAAAAAAAAAAACGGTTTTTGATTGGTTAACGCAGTATTACAACAGGTATATTTTAAAATCGCTTTGCAGATCCTCGTGTTAAAGCAAACAGACTGAAGTGAGTTTTACGAATATAAAAGGGAAATTCAAGGTGAAGAAAAATGAAATTCTAGTAAAGATATCCATCGCTTTGCCTGTCAAACGCTTTCCTTCAAAATTAAAGGGAGATTTGATCATCAGCTGGCCATCATAGACCTTTCGGTCTGTGCAATTTTAACTTCACTGACCATCACTGTACATGGATAAATCTTTCTCAATCAGACTCACTCGAAATCTCCATCTACGAATCATATAAAACTCATTAAGCTAAGCGATTATAGTGAATAGTTCTTAGCAGAAACGTCAGCCTTTTCCAACCGCAAAATTGATCCTTAAACATAAATTTGCCAACTTAAAATCTTTCATAATCCTCGGCAGAAAACAACGTTTATTGTTTAATCATGTCTCTTTTATTTGTAGCTGAGCAGTTCACATGAAGCCTTTTTTTAAAAATACAACTATATTTATGAATGAACGACTTAAAAATGAGCCAACTTTCCTTTTAGTTAATCTTTTCTTTGAAATCAGTACCATGAGCACATCCAAGTAAACGATTCGCTAAATACTTCCAAATTTTGCAAAATGATATAGAAGGAAAGTGTAAATTAAAATCAAAACTAAAATGACTGCTTTCCTTCATCCATCACACTTAGCTCGACGATTAAGGTAGATCATTAAATAGGTGTTTTAAAAGTCTAAAATAGTCGTTTCATTTCCACCTGTGAATGGCTGGATCTATGCTTCAAAGGATGACTAAAAGCTCCGAGTGTTAGGGATATGATGAAAATTGTCCATTTTAGATTTGAATGTCTAGTTGGCAGTTTATTCGGCACGAACAGTACGTAGGGCTGACAAAACCATATTTTATATCTTTGGCTAATTGCAAAACTTTGATATCTACCCTGGTATGCAGCACAAACATAAGTTTATAGCATGAGGAATACTCATAGCGAAATTTAGTTCATCAGGTCCACGAAAGAAAATCAAAAACATAAAACATGACTCCTCCAAGTACTGAGTTTCGGAATGATTTAATTAATTCTAACCTTAAACGATTTGTTCAGGTTTATTGTCAGATTCTTTTTCTTATTTTCTTTCGGAGCAAATATTTTTCCCTCAAATTTTATACCCAGTCACGACGTACTGGTGTAAAGCGGATTTTTACCAACAATGATTTACAGAAGTAAAAGTGGCTAATGATGGATGTTTACCAAGACGCGAAGTGACGAGTTAATTATCCCCCACCAGCTACCAACACAAATTTGAGTGGTTGTCTTAATATACACTAAGACTAACTTCAAATCGCCCAAAATATGATTTAAACTGATTTACTCTTGTAACGATTACAATATTTTCGGGAACAGATACCACGGGAGTTTTTTGGGGATTTAAAGGTCGTAGTTTGGATAGCCTTTCAGTGCGCGTCTTTAATTGAATTCTCATTTTAATTCGAATTAGTGAAATATAATTTTATTTCTTTTCCTATAGCCCTCGTGATCCAAACATTTTTCTACCACAGTTTGACTCGTTGTTAGCTTGTTCATTTATTTGTTTGTTTTAATGTAGTTTGATGTCACCAAAAGAGGTGGTTTTTTCCGAGCGTAACTTGAGAAGCTGACGAACATGTTGAAATCATCTTCCCATGATCCTCTTGATCGCTCCAGTGCGGAAATTGGTTTCGAGGACTCCTTAGCTATTCTCATGAACTTCTCAGCATGTTCGGTAACTTACTTGTTGTGTTTGTTATCAATAAAGACTCCAGGCTCCATAACGTCACCAACTGATTATAATTTTGGCATCAATTGACATCGCCATAGCGACGATTTTGCATGCCATTTTGGATAGAGCAGTGAAGCAGTCGAAACGTCGCTATCAATACACGATTGAGCATCTTGACCCTTACATCGCGAGACAAACGATCAAACGTTTTTTTAAGCGAATACGTATAGCAACGCAGTGCCCGGCCTTTGAAAAGAGAACGGTAAACACCGTTATTTCAGAAACAAGCCGACTAATGGATTAACTAAAGGCTTGTCAAGTTCGGAAATGTTGAGGTGGGCTAATGGGCTAAACATGCAAACAGAATTAGTTGGAAAAAAAAAGAAAAAAATAGAAAGGGTGGCAAGTGCTGCGATCTCACATTATTTGGTTTTTTCTTTTGTTTTTGTTTTTTTGCAGTTTTTAAGATATTTATTCGTCTACGAGTCGGTTACAAAATTATTATTAGTCACTGGTTACCCATACTTTGAGTACCTTTCTATTAGAATAGATCAGAATCAACTTTTGTTCTTAGGTCTGCCTTCTTTATAGGTGAGGGTCGTTGAAGATAAGGTAGCCAGCAAATACCTACAATAGCGCCAGAGGTACCAGGTTTGAGCGCAGCCTAGGTCGTGGTAGTTGGCTTTAATACTTCGTGTAAATGCAAACAAAATACTCGGAAATTCTTTCGATAGTAAAGCATTTT